GGAATATGGTTTCTTGATTCCATTCTATTAGTTCTCTCTTGACAAATATCCCTTTTCCTCCCTCTGTGGAGAAATATTTCTTTCTAGTCATGCAGGGTGAGTCATTTTTGCAGTTTTAATTCTTTCCCTATGAGTCCTACAATAATAAAGTCAATCCATACTAACTGCAGTACTCTTTGCCGGAATCACACCATAACTAATCAGTTAAATAGGATCACTAGCATCTGAGCTATACACTGATTCTCACAGTTGAAAATTATTCTACAATCCTTCTTCAGTTTACATGGACAGGTGTGAGATGCATGATTCCAGGAAGACAATGAGAAGATCAAGGCTGCATTCTCCATACGAAGACATGATAGCATGCTCCAACAGTCCAGCCAGTTATACAGGTACATAAAGGCACTGTGTTTAAGTGTTGGGGACAGTGAACAAAGACAAAAGATCTTATAGCTTTCATTCTGGAGAGGGAAAGAGGTGGCAGAACTTGGAAAAGGCAGACAATAAACAATAGATATAATGAAGTAAATTATACAGTACAAATTATATGCTGAGAGGATAAGTGTCACAGAAAAAGAAAACAGAAAGCAGACTAGGGTCAGTAATTAAAGGAGCTGGGGATATGGTTACAATTTTAAATAGAGTGGTCAGGGTATGCCTCAATTAGAAGTACTTGAAATGTGGTGGGAAGCAGCCTTTAGGAGTTGCAAAATACCTTGACAAGCTGCTTTTGCTCCCTGCTGACTTGGTTTCCCCATTGTTACACAGCTGAGCAAATAATTCTCCCACAGAGAAGGTAAATGTAACTTTAAGAGGCTTTCAATCTCTTGAATAGGGCAGAACCACGGAAGGTGGGGGATGGGTATAATGTATTTTGGAAAGGACTTTTACAAAGGAAACCATCCCCAGTCACCATTTCCCCACGTGGAAATCAAGGGAATCCTTCCCAAACTTCATCTAGGTTATAAGAACAAAATAACAAATCAGGCACAAAGCTCTGAGTTCAAACCTCAGAACTGCAAAATTAAAAATATAAATCAAATAAAATCTTACAACCTGTATAAATACACATTTATTTATGTAGTGGTGTTACATCACCTATCATTTGGAATTCTCTGTACATGTGTCCAAACTGAAGTCATCTGTTTTAGATCAAGGATCCTTGTCAGCAAGAGCTAATCTACTTAACTATGTTTAAATACCTGAACAATGCTAGTTACATAGGTTATATGTGCAAGACTACTGGGTTATAATTGAAAGCATCTTTCAATTTTACTTGCAATACGAACATACTTTTTTAAGCACAAATAGCTCAAACATTTAAGAAAAAGTTTTGAGCGGAGTGCTCATATCTATAATCCTAGTTACGGGCTGGGAAGGTGGCTCAGCAGTAGAGTGCTTGCCTTGCATACATGAGGCCATGGGTTCGATTCCTCAGCACCACATAAGCAGAAAAAGCCAGAAGTGGCGCTGTAGCTCAAGTGGTAGAGCACTAGCCTTGAGCTGAAGAGCTGAGGGACAGTGCCCAGACCTAGAGTTCAGGCCCCATGATGGGGAAAGAAAGAAAGAAAGAGAGAAAGAGAGAAAGAGAAAAAGAGAGAGAGAGAAAGAAAGAGAGAGAAAGAAAGAAGAAAGAAAGAAAGAAAGAAAGAAAGAAAGAAAGAAAGAAAGAAAGAAAGAAAGAAAGAAAGAAAGAAAGAAAGAAAGAAAGAAAGAAAGAAGGAAAGAAAGAAAGAAAGAAAGAAAGAAAGAAAGAAAGAAAGAAAGAAAATATAATCCTAGTTACTCAAGAGGCTGAAATCTAAGGATCACATTTCAAAGTTAGTTGGAGCACACAAATCCATAAGACTCATCTCCAATGAAACAACAAAAGCTGGAAGTGAAACTATGGCTCAAGTGGTAGCAAAATCCTAAAGGCGGTGGAGGCCCTGAGCTCAAACCCCAGTATTAACACAAAAAGAGAAGGAAGTGAGGGAGACATGGAGGGAGGGAGGGAGGAAGGGAGGAAGGAAAACAGAGAAGAAGGCGGAGGAGGAAGAGGAGGAAGAAGAAAAGAGAGACAGAGACAGGAAGACAGGAAAAGAAAAAGAAAAGAAAAAGTCTCACATCTTTGCAGAGCCTGTGGAAGTGGATGAGCAACACAACACAGTACACTATAATGCAGTAAAGTGCAAAAAGCCTGAGCTTTGGAAATAACCTGCTTGCTTGGATTTTCAAGCCCTGGCTTATATGTGTTTCAGCTCTACAACTATGGGTAAAACACTTGGCATCATTGAACTTCAATTACCAGAGAAAACTCAAAAAATAGTATCTATCTAGCCTCAAGGTTTTGGTGTGGTTATGCTAACAGTTGTGATAATACCTAATTTGAATCATAAAAGATATCAAATGTTAGTTTTTCTTTGTCAAATCATCTGTTTGTACCCTCCTATCTTAATCCTACATACAGACACATGCAGACACACACACACACACACACACACACACACACACAGAAACTGAATAAACACCTTGCTTTACATGATAAACCAAGCCTAAGTGTCCAACCCACCTTACTCTACCACCCCACCACTCTGGTTATTCCTTGCCTCTGGCCATGGAGTTCCTGGTTATTTCCTCTCTGAAGGAGGATCTGACAGATCTTTTCCTGGACACACTCAGAATTCCCTGAGGTTCTTATCACTGCTAAAGGATAACTATGCAGACAATGGGAGTGAATAATCACTCTCTCCCAGCTAAAGACTTCCTTTATTGACTTCTCTAACTTCCCGTCAATACCTAGCTGCCAAATCAAAACCTCATGCTCTAGGCGACTATTAAAAGGAATTTTCTGAAAACTGAAATGGCATATAGCCTTCAACAATAAATCACACTAACTGTAATTACTAGTCACTTGAACCATTACAGCACTAAACTATTAAGAATGTTTGTAATATTAAAATATTTACAAAACTTAAATTGTTTATATTTCTATTTTTGTCCTTAAAGTACATACACATACAGGAGCAAAAAAGCTATCTTTCAATTATTCCTCCTATTAGATAATGTGGAAGATAGTAATGTTATGTTAATAAATATTTATTTGGCATCCAGACAGTATCATATATGTTTATTGAAAGAGAAAGTAAAAGCAATATAACTAAACAGCATGTTTAGTGACTTAGTAAAACCATCTAAAGTGCTCATTTAGATTATGGATAGTGACTTACTATTGCTGAATCCTGGGAATGTAACACAGTACCTAGAACCTAGCTGACAGTTAATAAATTTTTACCAAATATAACAAATAAATTGGGGCTGGGAAGGTGGCTCAGTGGTAGAGCGCTTGTCTTGCATGCATGAGGCTCTGGGTTTGATTCCTCAGCACCACATAAGCAAAAAGAAAAAAGCCGGAAGTGGCGCTGTGGCTCAAGTGGTAGAGCGCTAGCCTTGAGCTGAAGAGCTGAGGGGCAGTGCCCAGGCCCAGAGTTCAGGCCCCACGAACGGACTCAAAAAAAAAAAAAAAACAAATATATTACCATTTAGTTTTATAGGGATCACCAACCTATGACCTGGAGTACCCAAAAGATAATACACACAAATCATTACATGTGAAACATATCCACAACCCCAGAACCTAAGATTCACACTCTGAAAGACTAACTACAACTTCTTTTTGAGGCAATTTTGCTTAGTTAGCACATTACACCCTCCACCCCCAGTTTTCCTTCTTTTGTTTTTGTACTAGCATATTTGTATAAAAACAGGATCTTTGTTGCTTAGTAATTCATCTGGTCCAGCTGCTGGTACTCTGTTCCCAATCAAAATTCTTGGTTTTCAGCCTCCTCATCACTTTTATAGAGTGAAGTAAACTGGACAGACTGGCTCCTTTCCATCTCTGAAGAACACCAGGCGCTGAGCTGAGTTCCAGACACTGTCCCTCTGTTTGCTTCTAGGTTCGGTTGTATGTGTGCAGACTAAAGGACCGAACCATCCACGAGTATGAAAAGTTGTGTTATTCTTGGTCTCTAATACCTGGTCTATCAGAACTCATCAAAAAGTGTCCCAGGAAGCCAGGTAGGTGCTGGTAGTTCACACCTGTAATCCTAGCAACTCAAGAGGCTGAGATCTGAGGATTGAGATTGGAGGCCAACCCAGGCAGGAAAAGTCTGAGAGACTCTTTATCTCAATTAACCACAAAAAGCCAGAAGTGAAGCTGTGGCTCAACTGGTAAAGCACGTGCCTTGAGCAAAAGAGCTCAGAAATGACACTCAGGCTGAGTTCAAGCCCCAGTATTGGCACACAAAAAAGTGGCCATTGAAATGGATTTGTTGAGCTGAAACCCTCTGTACAACGACTTAAAGAAAATAAATAAAAATATACACAAAAAGAAAAAATGAGAAAAAATATGCACTGATTAAATGAGAACCCCCTTTACAAGTTTCAAAATTCTCCAGCTTCAAGGTAAGGAAGGGTCAGAGAGGGGATATACATATGGGAGAGGATTCTGGACCAGGAGCCCAGGGAAAAATCAAGAAGGGTGGGGGGAGGAGGGGCACACACATCTATGTTGCTAGAAAAATAAGAAGTTACTCCCTCAGGGGGGCAAAGCATATGGGAAAGCTGGTCACCCACCCACTCTGAGTGTCACTCCATCCTAACGTACTTTATTAATCACAGACATGCACACATATTTTCCAATGTCTAATTCTCATCATGTCCTTCTCCATTCTAGATCTGTCTTGCTCTTTCCCAGAGCTGTTTCTCCAAAAGGGACAATAAACAATTTCCTAGGCACTCATCATTATCAACTCTGACATGTTATAAATTACCCCCTGGCCGGTTTATGGACCACAGCAGGCCCATAAAACCCCTCCCTCACCAGCAGCCCACCCCACAGGAAATTCTCACTTCCCCCTTTCCCTGCTTTAGGGCACTTCCTGAAGGAGTTACCGAGCCACTGGCCACCTTCTTTCTGTGATTGCTTGGTCCCCAATCCCAGGACACTGGGAGCTTCTTACCTGGAAGACAGTTGCATTCAAAAGTAAAGTCACCAGTCTGCCGGCAGGTGCCTCCATTGGCACAGGGGGAGGGTGCACAGGGCACATAGGGGCTGTCGCAGTGCTGGCCGGTGAAGCCCTGGGGACACTGGCACTGGTAAGAGCCAGGCAGGTTGAGGCAGGTGCCACCATGCCGGCACTGTCCTGGGATGTCACACTCATTGACATCAGCCTCACACTTCCGCCCTGTGAAGCCTGCAGGGCACTTGCAGGAGAACTGATTGGCCACAGTAGTACAGGTACTTCCGTTTGCACATGGGTGAGACAGGCAGGCATCAGTCCACTGGCACAGCTTCCCTAAAGGAAAGATAATGGAACTCAGAATCCATCTCAGAACCACGAGCAATCCATTCTCAAAGGGAACAGCAGGAACTCTCACTCAGAGATTCCCTATGCTCTTTGATTGCACAGAAGCACAAATCAGAAGCTCCTCAAGACACTTTCCAGAACCTTTCTAAGGTCATAGATGAGGCTGAGTCAGCGGATGGAGCCCATGAGGGGACTGTAGGTTGGTTATATGAAGCCCAGCCCAGCAGTACTCTATCAGCTTCTATGGCTCAGACCACCTGGTCTCTCACACCATTCTGCTGTTGCACAAGCTGCCCATGTGGTTTACTAATGGACTTTCCTTTATCCTGACAGCTCTGCTCAGCAGTCACAATCTCCAGAACATCTTTTTCTTTTCTTTTCTTTTTTTGGTGCCAGTTCTGGGGTTTGACCTGTGGCCTTGCTCTTTCCCTTACCTTTTCCCTCAATGTTGGCCCACTACCATGTGAGCCACAGCACCACTTCTGGCTTTTTGCTAACTAAGAAAAGAGTCTTTTACACTTTCCTGCCTGGGTTGCTTCTAACCCTTATCCTCAGATCTTAGTCTCCTGAGTAGCTAGAATTACAGAAGTGAGCCACAACACCCAACTTTATAAATATGTCCTAATATCCCCAGCACCCACTCACATGGGCTGTTTCCTTCTATAATACCAGCTGCCATATCAGTGGAGTCTGACTCCCCAGGAGAGGCCTCAAGCCATGTCTGTTGGATGAACAAAATATACTGATATTTTCTGTAATATGTGGTTACTAAGTAGACCTCTCAGATGATAGAAACAAGTCTGTACTACCTCTACTTCTTAAAACTCAACATATACACACATGCATTGTGTGGAAACCTTTGCTAGTTGTGGCTATTGCTAGAAGATACCATTTGATGTGTGCAGATGGTGCTCTCTGCATAACAAAAGCAGCAGAAGCTGCCACGTGGACAGGGTCTGGAACAGTATGGAGCAGCCCAATGTGTGAACCCACGGAAAGCAGAGCAGATTGTTTGAGGGTAAAGAGAGGAAGATAGAGACAAGAAGTATGCCCATGCTTCTAGTCAGCTTGGTATTCATTTGTTTTTGTTTTTGCATTAGTCTGTCTTTTGATAGACAGGATTACCACTGTGGAGCCCAGGTTGGCCTCCTGCCCCACTGTCCAAGGGCCAGGATTACAGGTGTGTGCCACCATGCCCATCCTCTAACCTAAATCTTTTATTTTTTTTTAAACTACGCTAGACATGAAAACTTCCTGAATTTGTTAATATACCCAACCAGTAGTATATCTTGGACCCCCATAGAAAGACAAACGAGACAAGACAGCTTTGCTAAATGGGAAAAGGTATGGCATATATACACAGAAAAATGCTCTTTGCTTACTGAGGAATGTCAGATCCACAGGGGAAAAGTTTAGTACTAATTTGAGCACAGTATCTATAGCAGGGTGCTGAGCGGAGAGGAAACAAAGGACATTTTTGTTCCTGTTTTTCCCTTCATTCCTCTGGGAGGTACTTACCAATAGAAAAGTAAGGGGCTGGGAAGGTGGCTCAGTGGTAGAGCGCTTGCCTTGCATGCATGAGGCCCTGGGTTCCATTCCTCAGCACCACATAAGCAAAAAGAAAAAAGCCGGAAGTGGCGCTGTGGCTCAAGTGGTAGAGTGCTAGCCTTGAGCTGAAGAGCTGAGGGACAGTGCCTGGGCCCAGAGTTCAGGCCCCACAACCGGACCCAAAAAAAAAAGAAAAGAAATTGATAGCCAGGCACTGGCGGCTCACGCCTTATAATCCTAGCTACTCAGGAGGCTGAGCTCTGAGAATCATGATCCGAAGCCAGCACAAGCAGGAAAGTCCATGAGACTCTTTTTTTTTTTGGGGTCCGGTCGTGGGGCCTGAACTCTGAGCCTGGGCGCTGTCCCTCAGCTCTTCAGCTCAAGGCTAGCGCTCTACCGCTTGAGCCACAGCGCCACTTCCAGCTTTTTTCTTTTTGCTTATGTGGTGCTGAGGAATCGAACCCAGGGCCTCAGGCATGCAAGGCAAGCGCTCTACCACTGAGCCACCTTCCCAGCCCGTCCATGAGACTCTTATCCTCCAACAAACTACTCAGAAAAAGCTGGAAGCATGGTACAAGTGATAAAGCACTAGCTTTGAATAAAAGGAACTTAGGGATAGCACCTAGGCCCAAAGTTCAAGGCCTGGGACTGGCAAGAAAAAACAGAGAGAGAGAGAAAAACAGAGAGAGACAAAGAGATAGAGAGACAAAGAGGGAGGGAGGGAGGGAGGGAGGGAGAGAGGGAGGGAGGGAGGGATGGAGGGATGGAGGGAGGGAGGGAGGGAAAGAAAGAGAGAGACACAGAGAGACAGAGAGGAAGGAAGGAAGGAAGGAAGGAAGGAAGGAAGGAAGGAAGGAAGGAAGGAAGGAAGGAAGGAAGGAAGGAAGGAAGGAAGGAAGGAAGGAAGGAAGGTGATAGAAAAACTTAAACTGGCCCTGGATGATCCCCAAAGTGATAGGACTCAAAATCTATTCAAGTGAGAGATATGTACAAATTCATTACAATAGAATGTGACACAAAAATAATAAAACTTAGCTGGGTACAAGTGGCTCACACTTGTAATCCTAGCTAATCAGAAGACTGAGATCTGAAGGACTATGATTTGAGGCCAGCCCAGGAAGAAAAGTTCACTAGGTTCCATCCCCAAAATCTCCAATAAAAAGCAAGGGTGGAGGTAAGGCTGAGTGGCAGAGGGCTTGAGTTCAAACCCCACTTTGTACTTTCATTCTTTATTCTTTATAGAATAAAATAATAAAAATAAAATAAGTATAATGAAAAATAAATAATAACATGGTGACCAACTGCCTACAGGAAACACAAAAAGATCATTAAGACAAAGCTTTCAGAACACCAACCAATCACCATTTGCAAAAATGCCCATTCCACACTAAGGGTTTTGCAGCTTCAAGGCAGCAATAGGAAGTATGCCATTTTCAGGAAATGGGATTTTTCTTGTGATCCAGCCTAGATTCTTGTGGTTATGTAAGGCTATGAAAACATACAAGGCTTAGACTGTGATAGACCATGGAGGCCAAGCAGAAGAGTTTGCAGCTTATTCTGTAGATGGCAAAAAGTCAGAAGACATTACAAGAAGTAAACTTGTGAGACCATTTGCATTTTTAACTGAAGACAGAAACAAGATAACAGGGGAAGTGCTGGAGAGAACAAAGGTAGATGCTAAAAAGCTACTTTAAGAACCCAGGTGAGAGATACCATGACCCTCAACTACAAAGTCACAGAAGAAATGTAGAGAGGCAGATGAGTGGAGAATAATTGAGACAATGAATGACTTTTCATTCCTTTGTACTAATACTAGGGCTTGAACCACTCAGGGCTGGATGTTGTCCCTGAGTTTTTTCCCTTCTGGCTTTTTGGTGGTTAATTGGAGATAAGAGACTCATGGACTATTCTGCCTGGGCTGACCTCAAACTTCAAACTTAGCCTCCTGAGTAGCTAAGATTACAGGCATGCGCCACCAGTATCTTGCTAAGTGACTGATTTTTAAGGGGGGTGCAGACAGGAAAAGAGAGTTTTCTACATCTGGATTATGGTGGAGTGGACACTGGTGTCACTTTTTTACATCAACATGTTGAACTTCTGAAACTTGTAGAATTGTTTTAAGGAGACATACACTAGGTAGTTAGAAATGAGCCTCAAGGGACTGGGAAGGTGGCTCAGTGGTAGAGTGCTGGCCTCGCATGCATGAAGCCCTGGGTGCAATCCTCAGTATCACATACACAGAAAAAGTCGTAAGTGGTGCTGTGGTTCAGGTGGTGGAGTATTAGCCTTGAGCACAGAGAGGCTCAGAGACAGCGCTCAGGCTCTGAGTTCAAGCCCCAGGACTAGCATAAAAAAAATTAGAAATGAGCCTCAATGGCCAGGTAGGGGTAGAGACAAAGAACTGACTCTGAGAATCATCTGTAGGTATGAGGACGGTCACAGCTGAAGCAACTAAAGGTAGAGATATGCCCAAAAGAGCTGGAATATGGCTGAAAACAGAGTTCCAGGAACATAACAACTCAAGAGTACAGACAAGGAAATGTGGAAGAAAAGAGAGAATCTGAGTTCAGAAAAACAGAAAAGCCAGTATCTTGATAATTAGAGAGATTCTGAGAAGTATATTTCCCTTAATGAATCAACTCTGATCCTCAATCTTGACATACATACCTTAAACAGTCAAATGCTTCTATATCTTTAACCCTTTTTCTTTCTCTTTCTATACCTTTTAAAACTCTCCAAGGAGTTAAAGAGAGCTGTCCAGAATGTTCCAGGTTCCTGATCATAATGCTAAATGTGCACTGGAGCTAAAGAACACTTTGAGGCAGATACTAAGGCCAAGGGATGTAAAATAATGATATCTGCCAAGAGAAGGAAAGCAAGGGCTTGAGTCCTATCTGTTACCTGTAAAACCCACTTGGCAGGTGCACTCATACGTTTCCCGGCTGAGCATGTGGCAGGTACCCCCATTCAGGCAGGGGCGAGACACAAAGCAGGGGTGAGAGGTGGAGTGCTGGCAGTCTTCCCCGGTGAACCCTGGGGCACATCGGCAGGTGGCTTTCCCCAACATGGCCTGGGCCACACAGGTCCCACCATTTTGGCATCGATTTGTCTCACAGGGGTCTCGATGTTGACAATATTCTCCCAAGAAGCCTTCTGGACATCTGAATTGGAAAAAGAAACAAGGAAGAGTCCATGAAAACACCTTCTGTAAGTCCAAAATTAAAAATAAAATGCCACAGTCCACTCAAGAAAACATGAAATGTCAGTCAAAAGACCTGAAGGTATTGAGCCAGGTACCAGCAGCTCACACCTGAGATCCTAACTACTCAGAAGGCTTGAGATCTGAGGATCATGGTTTGAAGCCAATCTGGGCAGGAAAGTCTGTGAAACTTTTATCTCCAATTAATGACCAAAAAGGTGGAAGTTGAGCTATGATTCAAGTGGTAGAGCACTAGCCTTGAGTAAAAAAAACCTAAGGGAAAAGCATCCCAGTCCTGAATTCAGGCCCCAGTACTGGTGCATGCGTGCGCGTGCACATGCACGCGCGCGCACACACACACACACACACACACACACAACCTGAAAGTATAACTTGTAAAAAATACTTCACTTTAGGAGGCGCACTTAGAGAACTTAAGCACATACTCTCAGGTCCTGATGCTTGGCAAGTCACAGAATACCAGGTAGCTGATTAGTAGGTCTTCCCCATCTATGAACATGACCCTCAGTCAAAAGCAAACCACAGGGCTGGGAAGGTGGCTCAGTGGTAGAGTGCTTGCCTTGCATGCATGAGGCCCTGGGTTCGATTCCTCAGCACCACATAAGCAGAAAAAAGCCAGAAGTGGCGCTGTGGCTCAAGTGGTAGAGCGCTAGCCTTGAGCTGAAGAGCTAGGGACAGTGCCCAGGCCCAGAGTTCAGGCCCCATGATTGGCAAAAAAAAAAAAAAAAAGCAAACCACACAGTATCTTTGTTCCTGTAGTAAAAAGACTGGATGATGCTACAGTACCTTTCCATACAGCACTGTTCATTCTTGTCTGCCCAAATCAATTCACTTTCTCATTGGAACAAATCATTTGAGAGGATTAAGATGTTCACATGATAATGCATGGACTTGACCCCCTTTATCCTTCTAATTTAAAAATGCACAAGACATCATGTGCCTTTTCTCAATTAATTATTGAGATATGTTCCCCGTGAAACACTAAGTTGGTGTGTATGTGGCTTTCTGGGTTACATTCAGGTGGCTAAGACTACAACAGAGAAAAGGAAAAGGAGGTAGATAGGTTCAAAGGAGCATTTAACAGTTAAGTTGTAGCCTTTCTTCTTTTTTTTGTGTGTGCCAATACTGAAGCCCAAACTCAGGGCCTCAAGCTCTTGCTTGGTTTTTTTTGTTGTTGCTGTTGGTTTGTTTGTTTTCACTCAAGATTGGATCCCTTAAGCCACAGTTCTACTTCTGGCTTTTTGCTGCTTATCTGGAAATAATAGTCTCACAAACTTTTCTGTCCAGGCTGACTTTAAACCAGACTCCTCATATCTCAACCTCCTGAGTAGCTAGGATTACAGTCATAAATCACTGTGCCCAGCTGTTAACTCTGACTTTTTCTATCTGGCTAGAGCCCTACATATTTAGTTCAATCTATTTGTCTATCTTACATGGGGAAGGGTTTTTAAAAAAGTGAATCTGGAAACCTGTCCCACCATTACTTCTAAAATGCCTTGAAACCAAACTCTAATTCTGCCCCCTCAAAACCGGCTCTTGTCCTGTCTTCCTGTGCTCAATCATTGGTGTTCTGACTCTCCTAATGGCTCCGACTCGAAGCACTAGGGTCATGCTGGATTGCTTCCTGCCTCTGCCCATCATCTTCAAGACAGTCTGTTAGCTATTGAGTGGCCAGGTGATGTCTTTAGGAGTCAAAGTTCTTGAGAAAGGAAGTAAAGCAAGATATTAGGGAACTAGGACAGAGCGTGCTCAGAAGAACGGCACAGTAGCTAAAGTGGCTGGAGAAGAAACCAGAGTAGGTAAGCAGTGACAACAGCAGTGACATGATTGGACACAGCCTCCTCACTGCTCCCCCACAGCTACAGAAGGCAAGCCTGGCAGAAAAAGGACTGATAAGACTCTGACCTTCTACAAGAAAAGATCAAGGCCAGCTGCCCCAGCACATGCACAAAAGTCCAAGAGGCTCTTAATCTCTAATTAATCAGTAAAAACTCAGAAGTGGAGGACTGGCTCAAGTGGAGGAGTGCCAGTCTTAAGCGAAAAAGCTAAGGCAGAGCATGAGGCCTTGAGTTTAAGCCCCAACACTGGCAAAAAAATAAACAATAGGCCAAGAAGGCAGTGGATGGAGCATGCACAACTGCTGAAGGCAACAATGAACAGCCTGCACTCAGAAGTTTGGCCAGGAGTCCTGAACCATTCATCTCACATCTTTCCAAAAGAAAGAGTCAGAAGAGTGATTACCTACATCATGGGATTGGTGTGAGAACTGAACAAAATCAAGTACACCAGAAGGTTTTACAAATAAAAAAAAAAAAGTCCTCTCTTCTTTGTGCTTACTGGGGAAAATATGATGCTGTATCCAAAGCACAGCTTGATTTGATAATAGAATATAGGATTTCGTTTGTTTGCTTTCTTGCTTGCTTTTTCTTAAGTAGAAGAGCAAAGAGCACCAACATGGCACAGCAAAAATTAATCCTGGGTTGGGTTATTAAAAACACATGCAGCATATACAAGAAATGTGTTATGAATGATGTTAAAATCTGCAACCTAATTCTCACCCACACTGACAGTCCTTTGGGTATTAGGCGTGGCTGAGACTCAGTTTTCCCAGATGGAACTATTCACCTTGGAAATGATGGCAAACTCCTAAACCTGGGTGGGCTCTTCCCAGCTCTGCTCTAAAACTATAGCATCCCTCCCATCTGCTCTGAGAATGTACAGTCATTTAGATGTTAGCATCACAAGCACAGAAGCAAAACATGAGGTTCCCAGGAAAACAAACACAACAACATGAAAGCTTCTCGAGCTAAGCAGAAATATTTCTAAATTCTGTTTCTAGGGCTTAATCCACATTGTTGCTCCCTTCCAAGTATGGAAAAATAATTTTCAACTACAACTAAGAAACCAGTAAAAGTAGAGACTAGCAAAGTACAGCTTGTGGGTCTAATTTTGCCTGCTGCCGATTTTTGTATGGCCTGTGAACTATGAACGTTTTCACATTTTAAATGGTTGAAAGAAAAATCAAAAGAATACTATTTTGTGGCATTTAAGAATTCTATAAAATTCAAATTTCCATGTCCATAAATAGTCCTATTGAAACCCAGCCATTCTTACTCATTTCAGATGGCCTGTGGCTGCCTTCGCATATGGGACACAAGAAGGCTTACTCTTCCAATCCAAGAAAAAGTTTGCCAATCCCTGGGCAGAGAATAGATGGAGTCTATTAATAGCATTCAATATGCTTATTAGTAATGATCTTAATGATGATGAAGAATATTCTCCTACTGCTTTCCACTATGAATACTAAACTCATAATATTCACTCATTAGGCCACGCACTAGTGGCTCATCTGTGTAATCCCAGCTTCTCAGGAGACTGAGACCTAAGGATCTTGGTTCAAAGCCCAGCCCAGGAAGAAAAATCCAAAAGACTTTTACCTCCAAGTAACCGCCAAAAGGCCAGAAGTGCAGCTGTAGCTCATGTAGTGCTGTTTTCCCTGCCCCCACCCTGCCACCACAGGCCTCTCTCTCTCTCTCTCTCTCTCTCTCTCTCTCTCTCTCTCTCACACACACACACACACACACACACACACACAGAGTTACACTATCTAGTAAATGTGCCAGACATTATCTTATGCCAGATATTGTTATGGTAGTCAGCCCTCTGTATCCATGGGTCCACATATATGGATTTAACCAACGCCAAATCAAAAATATCCAGGAAAAAAAATGTGTCTGCACTGAGCATGTTCAGACTTTTGTCATTCCCTCAATAATCCATATAACAACTATTTACACTGCAGTAACATAGTACTAGGCATTGTAAGTAATCTAGAGATAAAGTATATGGGAGGGTGTGTGCAGGGTACATGAAAACACTGCACCATTTACAGAAAGGACTTGAGCATCCGCAGATTCCAGTATGTGTGTGTGGTCGAGGAGCCAAGCCCTGAGGATGCGAGGGAAAACCACTGCACTCATGGAGTTAAATTCTAGTAGGCGAATACAAAAACAAAATGAATTTAAGTAAAAGCTATACTGTGTTAGATGGAGTAAATGCTATGAAGAAAAATAAAACAGGAAGGGATGTAGCTGGAGACAGGACACAGAGTGGCTCGAAAGTAGGAAGATCAGAGATGGACTCAGTGAGGAGAAGACATTTCAAGTGAAGACCTGAATGACTGAGGGAAAGTGTTGAAGGCAGAGAGAACGTGGGAGGTACAGAACTAATTTAGGGAGCAGTCCCAGCCTGTTCAAGAGATGCAAGGAGACATGGACATCTCTGCTGCCATGAATGAGGAACAAAGAGAAAGGAGCAGAAAAAAATAGACAAAAGCTGAAACTGGCATCAGTAGGGCCTTTAGAGGCCCTTGTAAAGGTCTAGGGATTTAGTCTGAAACAAAATTTGGATATGATATACAACAGACTTTCTGCCCTAACAGTCATATACATCTTTTTTCAGCACTAGGATTTGAACTCAGGGCTTTCTGCTTACTAGGCAGGCATTTTTTTACCACTAGAGGCAGGCCCTCGGCTATTTTTGCTTTATTTTTCAAATAGGGTCTCTTTTGCCCTGGATTGGCTTTAGACTGAAACCTCTGTCCCCAGTATAGCTGAAATTACAGGTGTGAACCACCATGCCCAGCTTTTTTGCTGAGATAGGGTCTCACTAACTTGCCCGTGAGCCTCAAACCTCTATGCTAAGCTCTTATCTTGCTTGTAGCTAGGATTGTAGACATAAGCCACCATACCCAGCTCCTCTCATTTCTTTATAAGACACAAGATCTATTGGTTAGTATAGTAACAACTTGACTTCCTATTTAAAACCTTCCAGCTGGGGGTAGCCAGCAGCCTCTTTCTTTCCTCTTACCTTAAATATACAGTCTTTTAGCCACCATTTTCATTAGGTCCCATTTCCCTTTCAAAACCTTTCCTCCTTCGT